CATGACAAAAATTCAAATACATCTTATTGTGCATTAATATTTGGTCCTTTGACTAGGAAATTCACTAAACAATTAATGGATAAATAATTCTGGAAAATGTGTTTCATACGTAGGCTCCATTGCTAAAGTCTCGTTTGATGGTAAAGCATTAACACCACGTAAGTTTTTGGAAAATTTTAATGAACTGAATATGTCGTTTAATTTGTTGCGTAAAAGTTCATGCTGTGGTTTGTTCGTGTTAAAAGTTCATCAAATGTTTCATTCCTAAATGCCTTGGCAAGCCGTTTATATTGTTCCTCTTGCAGTAGTTGTTCAGACTCAGTTTGTTCATTTACTGCTCGTTTCATGACATCAAAAGAATATTCTTCGGTGTTGATCTTTCTGGATAAACCTGGTGAACTCGCAGCACTGTCTACATCGTTATTTAAAGAGCTCAAATCCGTGGCACTTCCTAAAGAAGTGCCAGCCTCGACCCAACTGTGTCTGTGACCCATGTTCATAGTTATCGGGCAATGTGCAAAGTGAGCTAATTGTTTTAATGAAGATCCATCGACACCAACTAATTTCAAGCCTTCGATTAATGTGTTTTGATCGATCATGAGATGTTGCAAGCTGGATAAAGGTCTTGTTTGGGAACTATCGTAGTGGCTTAAAAGCGGTGGTAGCAAGTAAGGTGCTTCTGTCCTTCGTGCTTCAATAATCTTTTCAGAGTATTCACGTAAGGGTGATACAGATAGTACTTGTGGTACCATGTTGAAAACAGCGATTGTCAAGGATGTTATGTGGTATCGTTGAGCAGGTGTCAATTGTGGATTTGCTATAGCCATTTGCTGAATGCTTAGTATGAGTTGTAAATAATCTACTATAGTCTCATTTGAAGCCAGTTCAATACAAATTAATGCAAGTGTTGTATACACAGCCTTCACATTTCTATATCAGTATCATCTAACTGAAGAGAGTTATATAAACTACTATAAATTGCAGAACCGTGTTTGTTAATAAATATTATATCAGAACGAGAAGATTGTTCCAAGTTCAAATCCTTTGTAGTAATATCAATACTTGGTTCAGATAATTTCAAGCCATTTTTATGTCTGTCTAATAAAGTATGAAATATATTTTGTACCAAAACCCTCATTTTTGCATCAGGAGCACACGCCATTTTCAACAAAGGCTCCAAAAACGACAATTGGAACGTTTTATCAAGATGCACACTGCGATACTTTGTAGCAACCTTCAACAAAGATTTTAACAATATACTTTGCAAAAGAACATCAGACTTTTGCAAGTCCCTGCAAGGATACGGAACTTTATTCATAATAAACATCATAATTTCAATTTTCTGATAATCAGGTAGATGATTAGCAAATTCTCCAAGAGCATTTATAAGACTCTCCTGATACTGATTCTCTACTACTGTCGGTTCAACATTCCTTGACACACTCTTTTTCAAATTAGACATTAAAGAATTAATTATTTCTAATACTGAAGGTCCTACACTCTCGCCTGCGGCTATAGCTATAATTTAGATAAAACATCAGCAATACTTGTGCGAATTTTAGGATTAGATTCAGAATTTTCATCTAAATGGGTCATCAATGCTTCAACAACCGTGTATGAATATTGTACTTGTATAGCAGACATTATAGTCCTGAAAGTTCGTATAGCAAAAGTATTTGGTACCCACAATTGATGACTATCGAGATGCCTCAAAACAGGTTTAAGTACACAATGTATATGTCCGAATGAAGCACGACCAACAACTTCCCGTAAACATTCCTCAGCTAAAACCGGTGGTAACACTTCCTGGTTTCTAGAGTCCATACAAACATTAGTCTCACACGTTTGGCAATTTTGTAAATTGAATAGTAATGATGGTACAATTTTATCCATGTGCTGTTTGTTCCAAATGTTCTCAACAAGATCATCGGACACAGTTTTTCTTACTACACCCTGCAAACCTTGAACACCAGCCAAACGCAACTGGTTTCTAGTATCGGTATCTTTATGACTGCTGTGACACATTGAAGAAAACTTGGATACAAAGAAGTCGTAACTTCGGTGATAAGAAGGAGTGTCTTCTTCAATGTTAGCGAAATGGACAAACGAGTGAGTAGCTAGGATTTGTAGCTGGGGTTCTGAGGACTCTAAGAGTCTTTGAATCATTTTTAAGAAACTGTGTCCAAATACATTTAATGTTTTGGCATGTGAAGCTTTTAGGAGGCGATCCATAGCATCCATGGCAATAATAACAAAACCATACCTTCTGCGATTTATGTCCCTGCTAGCTTTTTGGTACAGATAGTCTCCGATTCTATCCAACTTTTCTGGAGATGATAAAGAATAAAATATCAATTTGTCCATATTGGCTTTTACTAAACCTTCATCAGGATCCACTGGAAATATGTTATCGACTAATCTTTTGTATCTAGGCAATAATGCCGAACAACAGACACAACAACCAATCATTGTTTATTATATTATTTACTAAACACTAATATAAATAGTTTTAAATTGTATTATACTTTTATGCAATTTTTGACAGTTCGTAAATGACATTTCAATGGAACCATAGAGTGTATTCGTAAAGATGCGACGCTTACGTTCACTTATCTAAAGCCATTGGCACACTAGGCGAATAGACTGGAAGCCATAGATAAATAACCATGGGGCAAGAAGCCCTCTTTATTAATAATTATATAATTTATTAATAATTATATAATTATATAATTATGGAATCGTGCTTTAAGGCAAGTTGCTGGAACTTCCTGTACCGTAATGAATTATTCGAAAAATATTAAATGATATGAAATATATTATTATAAATGCAATAACTTCCATTATCCGTATTTTATAGACAAAAATATAAGAGCTTAAAAATTGAACGACGACGGTTATATAAGTTTACACGAAGAGTAAATTAATCAATTTAAAAGAATTATATAAACTGAATTGCAAAGTTAAAATTATTTATTTAAAGTATATAAGTGAGCTTTAGCACTTTAGCCATAATTAAAACTAAAATCTGAATTCTTTTCAATATTGAAAAGAAAAACATTTTTTTGAAAATTAAAAATGCAGTTTTATAAAATTTCAAAACCCCAAAAAAAGGTTTTCCTGAAAAACTATCGTTTCGTCACAACAAGCAAAAAAGTTTTATGGATCAATCAAATCGGATGATTACGAGTACTTCTCTCAAAAACTGCAATTTAGCTATGTATCTCCAAAACGGTTAGACCTGCCTTTACTTAAAACAAATCACCATTTCTCCCCATCATTTCAAATTGAATGTTTTTTGAATCATTCAAATCGGGTACTCCGCTCTCTCAAAAATTCGATTTCTAATTTGCTCTGAATCTCCGAAACGGCTGGACTTGCCTTTGCCAAAAACTAATCAGCACATCTCCATATCAATAGAAATCGAATGGTTCTGGAATAATTGAAATCGGTTTATCCGTGCTACCGAAAACGTAGACAAAAAATTGTATCCGTGCACACATATACACATACACACATGCATCCATTTTTTCTAAGGTATGTCAAAATGTTCAGAAACCTCTTGAACGTAAAGATATGCAAAAAAAAATCCATTTTTGGACGATTACAATAACTTACCGTACGACATAATAATAAATAATAAAGTTATAGTAAACAGTTTATTTTTTTAAAGAAAAATGAGACAGTTGTTCAAAGTTCAAATGTGAAATCGTTCAATTTTCAAATTATTAATAAAAATGATGTCAAGATATTCTATCTCCGAAAATATTTAATTTAATACTTTTTAATTTTGAAAATGAAATTAAATAATTTTTTTTTAAAAAAAATGGAGACCTCTAGTTCACCAAAATAAAATCATTATTGGCGATCATATAAAAAACTTGAACTATTGTTTAACAATAATAACAATTGCATATTCAAAGATTTTTATATATCAATTGTTATTAAATATAATATATATATATATATATATATATTTAAATAATATATTCATATATAAATTGATATCTAAAAATCTTTAAAACGTAATTGCTCGCTATTACATTATCAGATAAAATAAATCATTTGACGTTGTACGGAAATCTAATTTCCTGAAAACCGAATAATTTTCGTTGAAACTTATTAAAACTAAATATGTCTATTGTTGTTAACAATTATCTGTTTTTGAATAAAAAATTCTGAACTCTAGAACTATCTAAAATCTAAAAATACGTATTACTACTTTAATATTTGTCGCAAACCCTAGCCCAAAATTAATAAAACTAAATTTCGCAAAAATGGGTTTTTAAATTATTTATAACAATGTCTTTGTTATATTTGTTTGCAGAGAAGTGCATTGTTGGGTATGTAATTTTAATAAATAAAATTAATAACAGTCTTATATTTGTGACTAAATTTTTAGAATTAAGTATAAACTCTTATTATTAACTCAAATATGTATTTCCAAAAGTAAGTAATAAATTTTATTTTAATTACTGACTTATATTTTAATAAATAAAAATATAGGTCGGTTTAATTATAGTTTTTATACTTTAGATTAAAATAATACTCAATCAATATAATTATTTTCTAACATAAATATTTGTTTAATTTTAATTTTCAGACAAATTACAGGTTTAACTTTCTCTCAGCCAAAAATGACTTCATAGACAATTCCTTTGCAATTATTCACAAATTCGAAGTAAAAAAGCTAAATCGAACATACAGCTACATAAATTTGAATTACACAAATGTCCAAACATTCCATAATTGTTCGGTACGTAAAACGATATTTTTGAAAAAATGAATTTTATCATATATATATATATATATATATATATATATATATATATTATAGAGAGAGAGAGAGAGAGAGAGATTTATAAAAGATTAAAGTAATTTATTTTACTAATTGGATTATTCAAATAATTCAATTGCTTTTATTTATTAAATTTACTAGGGTATTAACCTTTGTTCCAATTTATTACTAGGCTACAGGTGCCCTTCTCAAGTACACAAATAACATGTACAAAGAATGGATACCAGATACAAGGGTGGACCTTTGCACCTTTATTGGCAATAAGGGTCAAAATGGAGGCAAAAATTCATTGAGTGAAGCTTTTCTTGCCAAAATTAGACAACCTCTCATAGATATATTACTGGGGCCTGGACAAAAGTTTCCTTCGTCCTGCCCTGTTCAAGCGGTGAGAAAAATATATAAATAGAGTGTAGACTAAAAATGTAGTTTTGTAAAAATCAAAAATGGATTTTTCTGCATAACTTTACGTTTCAGAGGATTCTGAACATTTTGGCATACCTTAGAAAAAATGGATGTATGTATGTGTGAGTGTTTTTTTTGTTATTGTCGAAAGAAATGCCTTTTCCCAGACTGGTGTTTTGTGTGTGTATGTGTGTGTGTATTATTTATTTCAATCCGACAAATCAAATGACTGTGAGTCGGACATACTACTCACTGAGCTATTTCCGACACGATTTTAGCATATCAATAAACAAAAAACGCTCCTGAAACCTTTAGTTGAATCCTTATGTCCTATTTATAACTTTCACAGTTTTAAATTTATTTCCAAACATCCCTTGTTCATTCCGTATTTTTTCTAAAGATCTGATTTTTTTATAATAATATATATATTTATCAACAGAGTTTTCTTGTAAAATTGAACCAAAATCCAAATCACTATAAATACTTGCAAATTATAACACAGCTCTATGGTTTAATTAGTTACAATATTAACACATGTAGCGCTAATGATCTTATTATTGGTTAATTACGAATGTCTAATTTTGCACAGGATGATTATAAGTTAATAAGAGTCAAGAATGACAGACGATGTAAGGAACTAACACTATAATGCATTATTCACTGAATTTCACTAAATATTTATATTAACCCTTTCGACTCGGATTTAAAAATTTATATAAATCTCGGAATTCGCGAGTGGAAAGGGTTAATAAGTAGAAAAAGTGTAGAAGTTATTCCAGTAGATTAGATGTGATGTATATTTAAACCGGCAGAGTGTTTGTTGATTTATATTTCAATTTGATTGAATATTTGCTATAATTTAATATTATCTAATACCTAATACGATTGTGATAGCAAATTTAGTTTTAAATAACCGATTACTAAAATTCAATAATTTTTATTTCAAACTTTGCGCCATTAATTTGAATGCCAAAAGCAGCGCCCTCACGTCTGAGTGTAGGACCCTTTAACTATCCCTTTTGAAGGTAAAAATCGAAAACGAGAAACGTCTATATGAAGATAACATATTTTTTAATATTCTCTAGGGTTAATTACTTCATATTTATTATTTAAGAAACAGGCAATTATAAATTATATATTTCTTTTTTTTTCAGGATAATTACTATCTGAAAGCTCACGTAAATGAGGATGCTTTTCCTGGTTTTCTTTTCCCGGCGGGAAAATGGAAATTTACTTTGAGTATAGCAGCAAATGGAAAACGTGCATTTACCAAAGGCAACGTCGTTTCGAAATAATACATTTCGTGTCCGAAACTCAAAAGAAAAGAGGCTAATTTATATAAAAAATATAAATTTACTCCTTTTTCAGTATCGAGTAGAAATTTTTGAAAAAATATCAGTTTTGTAGAATGACTAGATAATTTTCATGTAATATTGACACTTGGAATGTATACAAGTTATTTGAAATAAAAATGTCTTTATGAATTTTTTGAAATGCGCCTCTGATGATTGAAATCTAAATATACAACTATATTTATATATGGATTATTATCGTTGCATGCGTGCATACGACTATATATATGCATATCTATCCTAAGCGATATATAATATATATATATATATATATATATATATATATATATATACCATTGTATATCAGTATATTTATATTTATATATTGTTGTTTCGGGGCCATTGACATAAGTGCTGGGAGCAATCACAAGAACAAACTGTTTCTTATCACATTTGAACTCTCTACCCTGTACCACGCACACTTCAATTCAAATGACACAGATTTCGAGCAGTTATTAACAAGAAACTACATATACTTAATTATAATAAATCGACTAGTTGAAAAAAAAATGAAACACCCACATCCAAATCCCATTCAATGCACAGATAAACTAGTGGTGTATGACATCGTGCTTATTAAGGCAAATTGCT